TCATCACTCTAAAACAAGTTTCTTACACATTACAGGTTTTTCATGTCAGCTTCAACCTTCTCCATTGCCCTTTCTTTGAGTCTAGCTCAAGGGACAGCTATAAGCAAAGTTTGGATAAATAATGGGAAAGTTGAGGTGATTTGGGACTAGTTTTATGTAATTTGTTTGATAAGTCAACTGTTGTTCACCCTGCTTCCCCTTGGTACTGCATCAGAACTTTCAGTTCTTGCATAATTTGTCCTTAGTGTGCTATTGTGGTCTTGTTCGCAGAGCAATTCTGTGTTGAAAGTGTTTTCCCATGTTCATGTGAAGGTTATGTAACATCCCAGAGGTCTGCGGGGTCAGGGTCAAGTTTATCTGTAGGTTATGTAACGTCTGAGAGGTCTGATGGGTCTTCAGGGTCAGGTTCATCTGCCAAGAGCAATGGAGTTTCAACACTCTAACAAGTTTCTTACATATTACAGCTTGTTCATGCCTTCAGCCTTTCTCAGGGTCTAAGTAACTCAGGAGACATGAATAAGCAAAGTTTTGAGAAGTAATGGAAAAGGACCTTGAAAGGTTGTGATGATTTTACTCACATTAGATTAGGAGCATGTGAAATGTGATTGTCAAGGTGCAAGCAGACCAGCATTTGAATTATTGGCAGAATGCAATAATCATGCTGGTCTAAAGCTCAACCCGGACAAGTGTATGACTCTGACAGTGTGTTTCATGAAGAACCCTCCTCCACCCTTGCCCATAACCCTGAATGGAAGTGTAATTAAATCTGTGGACTTTGCAAAAGTGCTAGGGTTATGGCTGCAGTCAAACCTGAAGTGGAACAAACAGATCAGCGAGTCAACTAAGAAGGCCAGCAAACGCTTGTTCATGCTGCGAAAGTTGAGAGCTTTCTGCCTCCCTGTACCAGACTTAGTAACTGTATACTGTGGTTTTATTAGACCTGTCTTAAAGTATTGCGCACCGGTATGGCACCACAGTCTAACCCACCAACAGGCAGCAACCATCGAACAAGTACAAAAACGTGCCTGTCGTACCATCCTTGGAAAGCACTATACTGACTATGCCTCAGCTCTACAACAGTGTGGTCTTGAGACACTGGAGAACAGGAGAGTCAACCTGTGCCGTAAGTTTGCAGTCAGCATGGAGAAGTCAGAGAGAACCGCTGATCTGCTACCTCCAACCCGGGGACAGTCAACCCGACGTGAACTCACACGATGGTCAGATTTGGGCCCAAAAGTCCCAATCCGCTACTATGGAGATCGAATCCCCCGAACCCGCGAATCTTGTTCGATATGACGTCATTCGAATAGAGCGGGCGTTCGATCTGGGGTTACCCGCGGTCATTTACAGTAAAGCCGCTACAACCGGCTACTTCAAGCCCTTTTTTACTTGGGAACCACGGAACAGGAAAAATTCACCTTTCCACAAATATGAACCGTTTTCAAAACATTACATCTATGCCGTGATTTTATTGTGGATATGTAACATGTAACGAAGCTACTGCCGTCATCGTGGGTGACCTTGAAGGTCAGAATTCTTGTATACGCTGTTATAAAATCCAGGTCCCCATATCCAAGTGTCATAGCACGCGTGCAAACATAGTATTTTAACCATTCCCAAAAATCGCTCAAATTACCTCTTTGAGGGCTTGTTTGGAAGAGCAACGATTTCCGCAGATTTCTGTCTTAGGGATTTTTTAAATATGGCCGCGATTATGAATTATCGGTATTTAAAGTTAAAACACTGCGTTTTTACCTCCGGGGAAGGAGATATCCTTCCGCGAGGAGGTTTTACTATTGTTCGAAACATTTCTGTCAGCAGCTGTTTCTCGCGATCGGCTGGACGGATTGGTCTGTTGTTCGGTATACGTATTGCTATTGGGCTGCAGATGATGCAGAACGTTTTTGTTCAATTGCATATGTGTTTATGGGCGTCGAAATAAAAGGTTTTTAAGTGCTCCGGACACCCCCGTTATGCTGAAAATGGAATTTACCATGTTGTTAAGGAATGGGGAGGTTTCAGTTTTGGGTCTTACCATTCAAAAGGGGTCAAACAGAGGGGTGTCTGGTTCCGATAAAAACGTTGGGTGACGGCGCAGCAATGACGGCGCGGGATGACGGCGGGGGTAATGGCGCGGGTGACGCTGAACGCTGGGTGCAAGCCGAGTCAGCGCTAGATCTTCGTGTCGTGGCATTTATTTCCAGAAATACGGCGATACACGTCAATTTATTTCAAGTACGGCGCGTAGCTAGCATGGCAGCAGCCAGCAGAAGCGGTGGGCGGGCGGTATGCAAATCTTGCATGACGTATCCGCGTTACGCGTCTCTGATTGGTTGTTCGCTTCAGCTGAGATCGCCGGGCGGCAACATGAAGGGCGCGGGGACGCGATTTTTCTGTTTGAAAATATGCACTAAACGCTGTTTTCCAGGACTGCATAGCCACATCTAGTGAAAAAGTGCACAATTAATATAAATTTGGGGGGAAATATTTGTTTCTTTGTCGATTTATGGTGTCGATTTATGGAACCCGGAAGTGCAGCCGAGACCAGCGCGCAGCGTAGACCAGCGTGGCAGTTTGACGTGTACGATCAAAACATAAACAAAACTCCCGCTGAAGAAGGGAAATTATCCTGTATGTATGCATTTCAGATCCCAGTGACAAGTTTACGATGGGAATAATTGTGGATACGCACCATGCGCACGATAAGCCTCAGAAATTTATGTCGTCAAGTGGGGCATTCTATAGGCTTGCACGGCCAATGTCTGGCACGCTACGCGGCGTACGTACACTGCTGCACATCACACGACCAGCGATTCAGTGTCTTAAAATATTTTTTAACATCAGTATAACAATATTTTTAAGCATAATGTGATCAAATTTCTGTAAAAAAATTTGCACAATTGTAAACATAAAACATGAATAGATCGCTGCTATACTGGGCGTACCATTTCGCGTACATGGCCGGCTGCCCGGCGCAAATACTGTCCCGATTTTTCTCAGTAGAA